TGTGTGTGTGTGTGTGTGTCTGTATGTTTAGAAGGGTAGAAGATTGTGTGTGTCTCTCAGACTGCAGGTACATGCGTGTGTGTGTGTTCTGTTGTGAAGTGTAATGCAAAAAGAGGAACGCGAATGTGTTCTCGCGAAGAAAAGTTTCCTCTCATTGACCCCGTTCTGTGTGCTCTGTCATTTCCAACCAATACATATTGGCTGATATGTCATATATATATATATATATGTCTGTGTGTATGTCTGTGTGTCTGCATGTGTGTCTGTACGTATGTTTGTATGTGTATGTGTGTGTGTGCGTGTGTATATATATATGTAAGAGAGAAGAGGTGCACTGACCTACGCAGACGACTAATCGATCCCTTTCACTGACATGCTTAGTGTTTATGGGAGGGACCGCAGCGGAGCTGTGGGCATTCATTGTGCGAGTGATAGAGGTAATGATAGGGTTGTTGTTGTTGATGATAGTGGTGGTGATGGTGACGGAGAGGTTATTGTCGCCAATGATATGCTTTATCAGTGGTCACCTTTCTGTATTTGTTCTCTGGAATTTATCAGTGCACAATGAATGACAATTTGATAAACGACAACATTTAAATATAGCAATTTGAAATTTGAAATGATTTCAAGTTTATGTTACATTTTTTCTAGATAATATAATCAAAGTATATATTATTGTTTAATGGTTTAGGAATAGCTAATACACATTTGCTACTGTTCATCTTGGGAACGGGGAAGATTTATGCACACTGTAAAGTATGATGATTCAATATATGTCTGTTGAAAGTGAAAAGGAAACGAGAATTTTCAAGTATGGGAGGGAGAGAGGGGGAACTTTTCTTGCATTATTCATCAAATTTTGAACAGTAATCGTTTCAGTGTGTACAAGATGGATTCTGTATTAGTTAGTGGTCTTGCTGTGTGGAATAGGTTCTGTACTAGTTGATGATCTTGCTGTGCAGATGAATTCTGTATTAATGATCTTATTAGTTAGTGATCTTACTGTACGGATGGGTTCTGTACTATATAATGATCTTACTGTACGAATGGATTCTGTATTATTAGTGATTTACTGTACAAATAGGTTCTGTACAAATCAATGGTAATCCTTCAATGGGTAGAAAGAGAAAAGAAATGTGGCGGCAGCAAATTGTTGATTGACCTCCGTACGTTTCAATGACTGTTCCATCTCTCCATATCATTGACATGGGGAGGGGAAAGGAGAGGAGAGGAGAAGAGTGGGCAAAATGTTCATATAATAATAAGTTTCTCACCACAAGGCTGTATGTAAGTATTACACATTCATTCATCTCTTACTGTGAGATGAGGCGCAATGAGGTTGAGGAACTTTTGTTGCTTGAATGATTTCGTTTAGTGGGGTATGATAATTACCTGTTTAACTTTTAACTTTAGTCACATATAATAAGACGTATAGAAATAAGCAACTGCAAATATAAAGTATCGGTGCATTCTGCACTGTACTATTTTCAACAGTAAGATTATTTCAAATATCTCTTTTTTTTGCTGAAAGAGAAGGCAAAGAGAGGCGAAGTTTTTTTTTTGCTGTGTTTTTCTCTCCGTCACGTTTACGTATTATATTTTATATTTACTATCTAATTTTGAAATCAGAAAAAAATTAACGCTGTTACATCATATTAGCACTGTTCTATACAATCTACCGAAACATTTTCACCGATTCATTATGAGCAAACCGAAGGTTGGAATTAATGGGTAAGTTGATTTCTTTTTTGGGAATTACTGTTTATGATTTTTATCAAGATAGTATTGTCGAAATTGAGATATTATCTTTTGTTGGCTGATTTTGAAATTTTTATCTGATGCGAATACAATCTCATGAACTCTAGAAGTTTTTATAACAAAGTTTTTGTTAAATACAGATTTGGTCGCATCGGTCGACTTGTCTTGAGAGCAGCAGTTGAGAAGGACACCGTTGAAGTAGTGGCTGTCAATGATCCCTTCATCAATATCGATTACATGGTTTGTTGATTTTTTTTTTGTTTCTCCATTTTTTTTAGATTCTAAGAGCATATTTGAGATTGGTTGCTTTCTGTATATAAGTAGATAATATTGATTGATCGCAGAATATCATACAAGTGTGCATATGAATTAATGTCAAATCGCTTATTTTTCAGGTGTACATGTTTAAATACGATTCTACACATGGACGCTTCAAGGGTCATGTTTCTGCTGAGGGAGGAAAGCTTGTTGTAACGAACGGCAAAACGACTCACCATATTTCCGTACACAACAGGTGACTCCATTATTTGAATCCATTAATTCTTTTTGGGAATTTGCTTACGGAAGATTTTTCCTGAAAAAAAAAATGGAAAAATCTTTAATCTCCTTGTTTAAGGATTGTTTGTACTTAACCACATTTTTTGCATCCCATCTCCTCCTGATCTTTTTTATTTCTGGATAATTTTTTTGCATATTGGTAAGCTCTCTTTGAATGTATTTACTTTTGAAAAATATGGTTTCCCTTTCCTTCTTGTTTCGAAAGGAATGAAAATCATATAAACCTTGCCAAAGCCCCTTCGCAGACTTGAAATATCAACTTTGGTTATCAGGATGTAACTCTCCAGCAGTTGAAGTTTATATCAGTTCTTATATAATACGCTGGACGTAGCTTCGCATTTTTGAGATCTAAACAGTTTGAATTAGAAGTAAATGAGTAAATGATTTTTAAAATTTACAGCAAAGATCCTGCGGAAATTCCATGGGGAGTAGATGGTGCAGATTATGTTGTCGAATCAACCGGTGTTTTTACAACAATGGAAAAAGCAAGTGCCCATCTGAAGGGTGGTGCCAAGAAGGTCATCATTTCGGCTCCATCTGCTGATGCTCCGATGTTTGTGATGGGTGTCAATAACGACAAATATGACAAGGCTAACAATCACATCATCTCTAATGCGTCGTGCACCACAAATTGTCTGGCGCCATTGGCTAAGGTTAAAATTGTGTTAATGTGAACAAATAATTTTTGCTTTGAAATTGTTTTGAGAATTTTCGGAAAATGACCTCTAAAGTGGTTCCATAGGAAACAGTAATGCTAATGTCACTAAGAGTAAACTTTCCTTTATTCTTTGTTTGATTTATTTTGTCATCAAGTGTTTTCGGAAAAATTCGACAAATATAAAGTGAGAAGCTGTAAGGCACTTTTTAAAGGATCTTAATTTAGTAATATATATTTTTCAGGTCATCCATGACAAATTCGGAATCATTGAAGGCTTGATGACCACTGTACATGCAACAACAGCTACTCAGAAGACTGTCGATGGACCGTCCGGGAAACTGTGGCGAGATGGTCGCGGTGCTGGCCAGAACATTATTCCAGCAAGCACTGGTGCAGCTAAGGCTGTAGGGAAAGTAAGCGTTCTATGAGTGCAAATTTTCAGATTTTACTGGCACTTTGGATAAAGCAAAAATTTCATCTCTAAAAATAATAATTTTAGGTCATTCCGGATTTGAATGGGAAGCTTACTGGTATGGCATTCCGTGTGCCAACTCCGGATGTGTCAGTTGTTGATCTCACTTGTCGACTTCAGAAAGGTGCAACTATGGATGAAATTAAGGCAGCTGTAAAGGAGGCAGCTAATGGGCCAATGAAGGGAATTCTCGGCTACACTGAGGATGAGGTTAAACTTTATCATTTTGATCCGTTCCAAATGAGATTGGATATATTCCGTTTAACCATCTTATTATTAAACAATTTTGTTCTCTGTTAATAGTTTGGGTTGATTTTTTTTCAAACTCTTTAGTTGCAAGAAGTTATTCATAATTAAATTTACCGATCTTAATTAAATGTTAAAATTAACAGGTCGTCTCCACGGATTTTACGGGTGACGCACATTCGTCGATTTTCGATGCTAAAGCTTGCATTTCTCTTAATGCAAATTTCGTAAAGCTGATTTCGTGGTACGATAATGAATATGGCTACAGTAGCCGCGTCGTTGACCTCATCTCGTATATTGCTAGCAAATAAATAATCTTGATGAGGTCACTGTCAGCTATATGACCAACCTAAGGAGAAAAATTTTTTCTCAAAAATGTAATGCACGATGTAGAAATATCGAAATAAATATTATTTAACATTTCTTGTAAACAAAAACATCATAAAATATGATTCACATCCAAAACTATATTTTAAAATTATTCAAAATGACAAATTTTTGGGAACAATTGATTTTTTTTCTTTGTTTGAGAATGAAACCATAAATGAAAAAATGGATCAAATAGAAGTGAAAAAATGGAAATTTCATAATAATAAAAACATATTTTAATTAAATCAAAGAAAAGAAATTAATAAAATGTGAAGTGATAATTCTTTGTTTTAAATAATTTTCTAATTCAACAATATTGTTTGGTACGTTTACATGAAAGATCACAGCTTTGCCAAATTCATTTCTCTTAATATTAGCTAGTCATTTCACTAAAATTTTATTTAATCAAAGAATTTCTTTTTTAAAACAGCAAAAACTTTATGTTACAAATTTTTGCTATTACTCACATCTTTGTACTAATAAAGTTGTTAGCCTTTCTATCAGATAATGCATTTAGCAAGTTTTTATTTAAAAAGTTTTAATGAATCAATATTTGCATATTAGTTGTATTTTGATATTTCATTAACATCTTTTCATTTTAAATTAGTATTGCTAAGATTGCTTGAAAGTTTTGCAGCATATTCTAATATCAGCACTACTCAAAATATGAAAATTTTGTTAGTTATAACAAGAGTAATAATCTTGTTGACCCCGATCTGACCTCAGATATTTTCATATATATATTCCTTTTTATTCGAATTATAAAATTCGTAAAAAGAAAAAAAATGGGATTTTTAAAAAAAATGTATGAGAAAGGAGGTTCAAAGAAAAATTAAATTTATTTATAGTAATTGATAGAATAAATTTTCATAAAAAATATTTTCTGAAACAAAAAACTTCCTATGAATTGTAATAATTTTGTCGACATCAAAATTAATTTATTATTTACAAATCACTGATAATATGGGCACTATCAGTTATTATTAACTTATTATAAGGATAAAAATTTCATGCGATATGTTTCATTTTTACCAAAAAAAAATTTTTTTATCTATTTCTGCTTCTAAAATTTTTCAAATTTTATTCAGCACAAAATTAAACTGGTAGTATTGTTAAAATATATTTCAGTTATAAAAATTTTTTTAATGAAAATTGTAACAGCAACAAACAATTTTCAAATTATTTCAACTAAGCAACAATAATTTCATAGAATTGAAAAAAAAAAAAAAGCAATTTATTTGAACTTATCAAGAAGTGTTTACCCGTAATATATTGGCTATCAAAGTATAATTGGCGTTGCTCATTCTTCGGTGATATAAGTGGTGGATTGACAATGACTGTATTAGCTATTCCACAAGGCATTATTTCATTTATATTTAAATTTATAAGCAAGTTTACTTTTTTTAACTGTTTCATTTTATTTCACTTTTATTAAATTTGAAATATCGTCAATATTCCCAAAAACATTTTAATTTGAGTTAAAAAATAAAATTTGAAAACATTTTAATTGAATTTAAAAACATTTTAGAAATAGCACATTCAGCTTTAATTGAAGTTGAACCCGTCTATAGTCTTTATACCGTTATATTTCCAACATTTTTCTATATTTTATTTAATACATCACGGCATAATTCATTAGGTAATATTTTAGCAGTTTAATTCTAATGATATAATTACAAAACAAATGAATTATATTTTTGGAACTTTTAAAATTCATTTTGAGTTTTAAATTTTTTAAAATTGTTTCAAAAATTTTTTTGCTATCCTTCAAAATTTCGCATAAAAATATTATTGCATCGTAGTCTCTTTTTTTGATTTCAACAAAAGTGGAAAAAATTTCTTAAATAAAAATTGCAATTTTTTGTGTTTGTTTTGAACACTTCGTAAAATTACCTTTTTTTCTGTTTAATTTATATTGTGTTTTCTTTTATTAGCATTTTTCATTCATAAAAAGCAAAAAAAAAGCTGAATAAAACGTTTTTGAAACAATCAAAAAACATTTTGAATATACATAGAAATTTAATATAAATATGTAAATTAATGGAAATTATAAGTTCAAATAAAAAACTGATTAATTTCAATAATTATAAACGTATGTTTAAATTTTCTTTCTGAACACGTTCAAATTTTTGGAAAAAAAAGCTCCAATAAATAATAGATTTTAAGGGATTTTCATTGTTGGTGAAGTATAATAATGCAAAAATTCAATATAAGAAAAATAAATGAGTAAATATTCAAAGACTAATTATATGCAAATAAGCAATATATATTAATGAGATTAAAAAAATTTTTTTTTTGTCATTTTTGTCAGTTAACTTCTATTTTAATCCCATATTTATTAATCTGCTAATATTAATCATTTGTGTTAAAATTGCTTGCTATAATTAATTTAATTTCAAGCAATTCATCAATCAATGAATCGTTGGAAACATAAACATTCACGAAATCGATCTGTTGTTAATGATAAAATAAATCATTTATTACAGGATACTGATGTAAAAATTTTTTCAAATTAGAATATTTAATAATTAAATATTCCTCCAGTATATGAAACGAAATCTTTGCTGTTTGTTAGCTGAAAAATTTTTTGAATAAAATTATTCAATAATTGCATTTGTTTATTAGAACACGCATGTAAAGAAATGTTCAATGTTTGTAATAAAAAAATTAAATTAAGCATTCATTTATAATAAAGTAGAGAATTTTTTTAATTAAGTTATTTAATGATTACTGTCTTAATGTTTAATTTATTATGCATAGATCGGAAATATAATAGTATTTTAAATAAAATACAATAAATAATAAAAATACGATAAGTATTTACACTTTCCTTTGGCTGAAGCAATGATCAAATGATGAAGATATTTCAAGGAATGATCAATGTCTTATATATGTAATTGATTATTCAAGTTTTCCATACATTGACCATTTCGGAATTTGTAGCCGCTAGACGGGTCACTGCTCTTTTTTTTTGCATTTCTGAGATATATTTCAATAAATATAGAAAGAAGGAAAAAATTGGAAATTTTATACGAAAATACTTCAAAATTAAAATTTTTAACTTACAATCGACATATCAGAGAGGCAATTTGTTCAATAAAACAATTTGTTATGCATAAATTATTCCTAAAACAAAATCACTACTACTACATTTTTAACAAAAAGAAAAAAAAGTATGAAATTCAATAAGAACTGCATATGATTATTTCCAATTTGAAATTGAAATTAATTTTGGATTTATGATGAACTCATTTCATATGCTATTAAAGCATTTTTTGCTACACCATCAGGCAGATCGATATTTCAAAACTAATTATTGAATATACAAATAACAAATTAATCATTCACTGTATCTAATATTTTTAGTAAGCTTACATTTAATACTTATAGTATTTTTTAAAATGTTAAAACCAAAAGAATTTAAGTTTTTTTTAAAGTTTGCAAAATTTCAGGTAATTTGACAAAAATGTTTGATGCGACCAATTTTTATGAAACTCTCCCGCGAAGTGCCATCGTTGAGCGTTTAAATGGTAAGATATTCACAGCAGTGATAAATGAATCATTTACAAAAATGTTTTAATTAAACATTGCTAAAATAATAACAACAATGACAAACAAATATTATTTGTAATAAAATGGTGTCACAGATATTTTTTTTCATTAATTTCAAATATGTTTAAGTAAGCAGTTCAAAAGAGCAAAAAAGAAAATTTTAAAAACTTCAAATTTTTACAGATAATTAATTGTTCGATTAGAAATAATTAATTATTTTTGTCAAGTATGAAAACGAAAAATTTGTTGGCTATGAATAAATTTTTGCATAAGACTTTTAAATTCCACATTTTACTGTCATCAGCAATGAATATATCAAAACAGATTCCTCCTATCCAATCATTATGCCTATTATATTGCTAAAAGAAAATCAATAAAATAAATTGTAACTGTAACGTGCTGTATATTCCCCAGTGATCACTTTCAATTGAACTATTGATGCTAGCTGATACTTCAATCCATTACGAGTACTATCTAGAAAAAAGCCAAAGAACTATCCAAAGTTCAGAAATGGACAACACTGCATGCTAGAAGACAATGAACCTCTTACATTCCAGAATCATTTTTTCAAACTTCACCATTACCGCTGCCAGTTCAAACAACGCGCTATTCAAACAAATATGCATGTAGAAAACGATTTCATTCAACTGGTTTATTACTTCAAACTACTAACAACTCGTGTAACAGCAACATTGCTATCCATTGTAATTTAAAAGCACACATATAAACTAGAAGAGACAGAATGTTATATCGGGGAGGAAGGGACAACTTTTTTAGGACTCATTAAAGAAAATGAAGAAAAATTACGCGTGTCTACTCATGGCAATACTAAATCAAAAAATTTATTTTCCATAATAATGTTCCAGTTTTTCATATAGCAAGTCCATGATGGCGATGATACCACTGTTTATTTGCTGGCAATGTAAGAGATAAGGTCAACAACACGGTTGCTGTAGCCATATTCATTATCGTACCACGCAATAAGCTTAACGAAGTTTGGATTCAGAGAAATGCATGCCAGAGCGTCGAAGATTGATGAATGTGCATCACCAGTGAAATCAGTTGATACAACCTGAAATTAAACATTGTATTTTTAAAATCAAGTTGAAAATATCTCGACTACAATTGTAGCGTTGCACAAGCAAGCATAAAAATAAATAGGCAAATCAATTTAGAGGATCAAGCGAAGTAAATTATCATCAGTGATCATCACCGCTACTTATGAAATCTAAACTTCATTAGAGCAAAAATCAGAAATTATACCTGGTCCTCAGTGTAATCAAGAATTCCCTTCATTGGCCCATTAGCTGCCTCCTTTACAGCTGCCTTAATTTCATCCATAGTTGCACCTTTCTGAAGTCGACAAGTGAGATCAACAACTGACACATCC